ACGTTCCCTTTTTGCAATGGCTATCTGGCAATTACCATACTTAGGAATTAAGCTTACCCCCGACCTATGATGGACTGTATTCCAGCTAATTTTCCTACTGTTTTTTCATGGAGCCTGACTTGAGTTTATTGTCCTCGTTGGTCTCATTTCCCGCTTTCATGGTTTCCCAGCAGAATTAATGCAATCATCCGTATGACCTATCTCCCAAAACTACTTTACCTATTTCGTGTTTTTGCCAGTTCTCATGTACCTTCGCATAATATTGCGTATCCATCCAGCGTAAACTTCTGTCCTTTTTATCTGTAGCTGCTCACTCATTGACCCAAGAATTAGCAAACATATCCTTAATCCGCGGGCGACGGAGTGCGTGCCGGCGTTATCCTGTTTCCCGAATCTCCAGTCATATTATTTGGACGGCTAACATTGCCCCCCTTGGCTCATTTTCATTGCATCTCATCACTTCGCCTCTGTGGGCTGTTGTAGATATGATGGAGCTTCTCACCCGATACCGCTTTCCTCCTTGCCATGGCTTCCTACTTCTCAACGTCCATCTAACCCTTAGTCCAACGCTGACATTTTCGCTACGCTCTTTGGGATTTCTATCAATACTCCGCTGGCCTTATCTCTCCTCACCTGTCCGTCTGTTAACGTCTATTACATAACCCCATTTATTTCCCTCCGGGTAGGGATAATCCTAGACAGTTTGCATGGTGGCAGGCGCATGGTTTTTATGGATGTTCACGTACTCACTTCTATCTCCCACTAGAATAATTACCTTTGACGCTCTGCGCTCTTCTTATAATATCTCCCCTTCGAGAACATTTTGGTTACCTTCAACTTCATCAATTCCTAAAAACACTGATATGTACGCATTCGGGACCGTATCGTCTGTCCCCCTTTGAAAGCCAGTGCAGACATAGACCTCATGCCCGGGTTTGATCTCTTTGATTTATTCTTCCATTATATCTTATAGAACCCCTCCGGTTCGTTCCTATCATCAGCATTGGCAGTCTGAATTAGGGGGGACCCTGGAATCAACAGGACTGGCAGAACATGACCCAAACAAATATCTAAATGTTCTAGGAATGTCATTATCCTTGAGAATGCCTACCAAAAATTCTATACCGATGGTATTATACGCCTGCTCGCCTAGCTAGTTTTATCCCTACATATTCCCCAGTCTGTTTTCGGGGTTGCCAACAATTGGGCACCATGGCCCCACATATGGTGGACTTGCCCTAAAGTAAGCAGTTTATGGATTAGGGTGTACACCCTTCTCCGCACTATCCTTCACACAGACATTAAGCGTAATCCGTTATGAAGCGCTTCTATTTGAAACCATTGGAGGGTCTTCTCCGTTCTGAACGGCAAGCTGGTATCAGAATTTCATCATGGTTAATGAAAAAATGACGGCCATATTGTTAGATACCCATACAAAATTTTTGCAGATATGGCGTCCCTGGTTGGATGTAGCTCAACCCTCGAGATTCGACCAATCTCTTCTGTCGATATGAGGTTGGATTTTGCTGTGATCCCCTTGGAGCCCCAACTTCCCCCCCTTCCTTTTTTTTTTTTATTTTTTTTTGTTTGTTATGTCCGTGTCTCTCTACTGTATGTCTTTTCCTATCCTGCTGTTCAATTTGTCCTTAAATATATTTCACGGATTGTGCTTGTTGTTTTCTGCGCTACATCCGCAATACTATTTACGCAATTTAGATTTTTTTTTTTCATATACACTCTCTAGGTTATGAACATGAACAATTTTTTGGAGAAGCCTCTTCTTGTGCCTCTCCTGTTTTCTATAATGTTGATGTAGCTAAAACTCTCTTTGGAGTTTACATTATCATTGACCCACAAAGGTTTGTTAATCATTCCCTTATAACCCCTTCCTCCACCTATTCCTACAGGGCTTCTATGTAAACTCTTTAGCTTATGCCTTTATTGATGCATGCCTTGAACAAGCTCCTCGTCATTTAATATGATTCATAATTGTTGGTCTTTGAATTTATGCTCCGAATGTCTGTTTATTTTTGCTTAATATTCAATAAAGCTCTTTGTAAAAGAATTGATGAGCTGCAATTTAATATTTTTTTCTTTTTGGCTTTATTACCACTTTCATTTGTGTCTTTTATGTCTACCTGGAATTCAGCTTTAGGTTTTTTTTATATATATCAAGTGCTACGACAGAAAAAGGACATTTGATTTAGTGAGTCTTCTACATACAGCATTACACTAGAATTTCAAAGGGGAACTAGTTCAGGACGCACAGACTGCAAACTACCTAGTCATTGAGCTATTTGCTGCACCCCTCTGCAATGTCTTTTACATACTTGCCTATCTATTCCTCCTGTGAAAGCAGCTATTCCATTTCTACTAACACATTGAAAAGAAACCACATTTATGTGCATGTCCGTAGTATAACAGTACCTGAATGTTACTGGAGAGATCTTCCCCATAAGGGCGTATGCTGTGACACTTTGTAGGTGGAATAGGACACCATCCATAAGTAGTAATACAATAATGTCCCAGCTGTAACTAAACGTCCTCCCACTTTTCCCAATCAGTGGTACATCCTGCAGAGAGACCAGAGATATGAGTAAGTTTAGTATACATTTGTAAAGAAATGGTCTTCCTTTCAGTAAATTTTCAATACATTTTTTTTGTATTCAAAAGTACCTCTACATACATTTTCATATATCCTCTTTTTTTCCCTTGTTCTTACACAGGTCCATCCCACTTAGTCAGTGATTTGGGAAGCCTTTTTTGTAGTGCAGGAGATACAGCACATTCCCAAACACTAAGCAGCCACAGCTATTTGCACACACCTTTCATTCCAGCTGCAGGAATCCGCATATTCTTTCCGCTGCAAATTGCAGCTTGTGCTAATCGCCCGTATGAATGTAGTGTTAAACTTGTTCTGCTGTGGCTCATATGAAATGTGTACGTAAAGCACAAATGCACATTCAGACAAAGTGTATTTGTTCACCCATGGCAGTACTCCTGATCTAAGATATTTCATTGAAGCCCTGCTAACATCACCTTCTCAGTTGAACAATACTTCAATTCTAGTTTGTGAGAGACAGCAAGAAACAGGCAGTTCCCTTCAAGACAGGGGAAGTTGCCAACATCCAATGGGAGACCACAAAGGATTAACCTGATGCTCAAGACAAGAAGAGAAGAGATCACCACCAGAAGGTAATGACTCTACCCAAAAGGAACATGAAGTCTGAACTAAGACGCTCTGAAACAACAAAAAAAAAAAAAACAAAAATAACAGGCGGAAGAACATAATTACCTTATTAAGGAAAAAACACTGTGGAAGACCCTAGGTGAATAGGTTCCCAGAAGGAACCTATGACGAAACCAGGTCCGCAAGAAAAGACCAACCAGTCTACACATGAAGACCCAAGCGATACACTCCCAACCCTTTGCTTGTGATTCAGATTGTTTACTTTAGGGACCAGGCTGCTTGTCCTATCACAGGGAGGACTCCAACACCTTTCCAGAAGCAAAGGCACTGCAACACCTAGGTGATGTCTGGCTGATTCCAACCCAGAAAGCCAACTCAAAGCAGGATCCCTCAGCAAAGAGGGAACATCTGATCTTGTAACATCAACTGAATGTCCAGGTACGGGAACTCCCCTGGGGTGGAGGGGGAGACTATGCTGTGTACCTAAAGAGACTGTTGATTCACTCTAGGGGCTATCTGGTTCCAAGCATTACAGTATGGGGATGAGAGAGGCTGAGGGCCCATGAGAGATAAGTAGAATGTCTCGAGAGGGGGTTACCTCAATGACCTACACACCCCTGACAAGGAGAAATGGGTGAACACTCTGACTGCTGAAAAAGGAACCAATGGCACACAGGGTGCAGACCGATTTAGTGTTTTTTTTTTTTGGCCGAACAGCTTCACTCACCTGAGGCATTAGCTACCAATGATAGTTACCTGGAAGGCCGTACCTAGCCGAACCTTGCAGGTATTATGCCTTTTCAAAGGGAACCAAGAGCAAGAGACCAAGAAAATGATTCTCTTCAGAGGAGGGCATCAGAGTATTTCACAACCGAGCTGCCAAGAAAAGGCACTAGGGTGAACATGAGGCTCAATGCTCTAGGAGGTAGCAGGTGCCTGAAAAGACGCTGAGGGACCAGGTCCACGTTTAGGTAAGGCAGAGCCTGAACTGATTCTGGATGACAGTGTAAGTCCAGGAGACCCCCTGGAGAGGAGGGATGCTAAAGTGTACCATTTACTACAAGGGTTTAGCAGAACCTAAGGACAGAAGATACATCTTAGGTAGAGAAGGATAGCAAAAGATAGTTAGACTTTTCTCAGTATAGCTAAAAAAAGGCATTACATTTCTTAGGACACTAGAAAAAAAAGGAAAAGTTATGTGGGGGCTAGCATACAATTTTTCTGTTTGCCAGTATCCAAATCTCCTGTAGGTGGCAGTAAAACCTGACTGTATATGAATTCCTGCATACCTCAATGGACAAGAAAACAATTTACTGTGATTGAAAATCTCTCCAAAGTTAAGTACCGTATTTTTCGCTCCATAAGACGCACCTGACCATAAGACGCACCTAGGTTTTAGAGGCGAAAAACAAGAAAAAAAAATATTCTGAACCAATGGACTGCAGACATAGTACAGGGAATGACCAGAGACTGCGGACACAGTACAGGAGATGACCAGAGACTGCGGACACAGTACAGGAGATGACCAGAGACTGCGGACACAGTACAGGAGATGACCAGAGACTGCGGACACAGTACAGGAGATGACCACAGACTGCGGACACAGTACAGGAGATGACCACAGACTGCGGACACAGTACAGGAGATGACCAGAGACTGCGGACACAGTACAGGAGATGACCAGAGACTGCGGACACAGTACAGGAGATGACCAGAGACTGCGGACACAGTACAGGAGATGACCAGAGACTGCGGACACAGTACAGGGGATGACCAGAGACTGCGGACACAGTACAGGAGATGACCAGAGACTGCGGACACAGTACAGGAGATGACCAGAGACTGCGGACACAGTACAGGAGATGACCAGAGACTGCGGACACAGTACAGGAGATGACCAGAGACTGCGGACACAGTACAGGAGATGACCAGAGACTGCGGACATAGTACGGGAGATGACCAGAGACTGCGGACACAGTACGGGAGATGACCAGAGACTGCGGAAACAGTACAGGAGATGACCAGAGACTGCGGACACAGTACAGGAGATGGCCAGAGACTGTGGACATAGTACAGGAGATGACCAGAGACTGCGGACACAGTACAGGAGATGACCAGAGACTGCGGACACAGTACAGGAGATGACCAGAGACTGCGGACACAGTACAGGAGATGACCAGAGACTGGACATAGTACAGGGAAAATACCAGGGACACAGTACAGATGACCAGAGACTGCAGACAGTGCAGGGGATGACCAAAGACTGCAGACAGTGCAGGGGATGACCAAAGACTGCAGACAGTGCAGGGGATGACCAGAGACTGCAGACCTTTAGGGAGGGAGGGGGAGCGGGTACCTGAATTTCACAGGTACCTGCTCCCACTTCCGCGGCGTTGTCTTTCTCTCTTCTTCCGGCGCCGGCTTCTGTGACAGCCGCATGCGCGAGAAGCGTGCCCACTGCGCATGTGTCCCAGAAAACACTGGACCATTCACAAAGCGCAGCGCATGCGCAGTGGGCACCCGGCTGTCACAGAAGCCAGCGCGGGAAGACTGTGCAGCGCTGGAGCGAGGAACAGGTAAGGCCTTGCAGGAGAGAACATCTGAGCGGCTGGCCCGGTATTCTGACATGGTGGCGGCAGAAATACCGGACCGGTCGCTTTATATTCGCTCCATAAGACGCACTGACGTTTTCCCCCCATTTTTGGGGGGAAAAAAGTGCGTCTTATGGAGCGAAAAATATGGTAAATCCCCAAAGACAGTTATCACTGGAACAAATGTTTCTATTCCTGTTTGGGTGACAATTCATGTTTTTGGATTTTCCCTCACATTCGGTCCCAGAGAAAATGGTTACCAGCACAAATAACAGTGTAAATCACCCTTAAGCCTCACACACACGATGAGGATATTTTTTTTGCATGCTAGTCTCATATAGAAAATAAAGAGGCTACTAAAGTTACAAAAATTCTCATACGACAGAATTCAACTTCGGAAGTAATGTATTGTATTGTAATGAAGTATTTAGTTTCTGAGCATGCGTGGTCTTAGTCTGATTTTTTTTGGACAACTACTGTAATTAGTAAAGGAAAATCGATCGTTCTGGTATAATACAAGAAAAACTTTCATGTATGCCCCTTCGGATAATTTCACATGAACTGTTGTGATTGGCTCTCGAAAGCTGTGTACTGACGATCAGATTAAAGGAAGATCGCTTTGAAAGTGGTATTTTGTGGCTGATTTGCTCATCGTATATATGGGGCATGAGGGGGACACAGACAGCAATAAAAATCTGACAAGGACTTTAACCCCTCCCCACTCTATCTAGATATGCAAGTCTTGGCAATTGCTATATTTAAATTAAATAAAAAGAAAAGCAAGAATAATAAAAGGGAGAAAGTGTAACATCTGTAGCTCAATGATGATATATGTGAATATACAGTCATGGCCGAAATTGTTGGCACCACTTGATATTTCTCCAGGAAATCATGTATTTTTCTCACGAAACGTATTGCATTAACACATGTTTTTTGCTATACACATGTTTATTCCCTTTGTGTGTATTGGGACAAAACAAAAAAAAGGGAGGAAAGAAAGCAAATTCGACATAATGTCACACAAACCTCCCAAAAATGGGCTGGACAAAAGTATTGGCACCCTTTCACAACTGCGGATAAATAAGAATGTTACAAGCATGTGATGCTCTTCACCTGGGGCAAGTAACAGGTGTGGGCAATATAGAAATCACACCTGAAAGCAGATAAAAAGGAGAGACGTTCACTTAACCTTTGCATTGTGTTCTGTCTGTGCCACACTAATTGCTTTATGGACAACAGAAAGAGGAGACGAGAACTGTCCTGAAGGACCTAGAACCAAAATTGGTGGCAAAATATCAACAATCTCAAGGTTACAAGTCCATCTCCAGAGAACTAGATTTGCCTCTGATTGTCCACAGTGCGCAACATTATCAAGAAGTTTGCAACCCATGGCACTGTAGCTAATCTCCCTGGTCGTGGACGGATGAGGAAAATTGATTGAAAGATTGCAACGCAGAATAGTCCGGATGGTGGTTAAGCAGCCCCAAACATGTTCCAAAGACATTCAAGCTGTCCTGCAGGCTCAGGGAGCATCAGTGTCAGCGCGAACTATCCGTCGACATTTAAATGAAATGTTAAACGCTATGGCAGGAGACCCAGGAGGACCCCACTATGACACAGAGACATAAAAAAGCAAGACTACAGTTTGCCAAATATGTACTTGAGTAAGCCAAAAGCCTTCTGGGAAAACGTCTTTTGGACAGATGAGACCAAGATAGAGCTTTTTTCGGTAAAGCACATCATTCTACTGTTTTACCGAAAACGGAATGAGGCCTACAAAGAACAAAACACAGTACCTACGGTAAAATATGGTGGAGGTTCAATGATGTTTTGGGGTTGTTTTTGCTGCCTTCTGGCTAACTGGGTGTGCCTTGACTGTGTGTCAAGGCATCATGAAATCTGAGGATTACCAAAGGATTTTGGGTCGCAACTGTAGGGCCCAGTGTCAGAAAGCTGGTTTGCGTCCAAGATTCCTGGGTCTTCCAGCAGGACAATGACCCCAAACATACGTCAAAAAGCACTCAGAAATGGATGGCAAGAAGAAGCGCTGGAGAGTTCTGAATGTGCCAGCATGAGCCCAGATCTAAATCCCATTGATCACCTGTGGAGAGATCTTAAAATTGCTGTTTGGGAAAACTGTTTCCTTCCAATAAGAGAGACCTGGAGCTTGTTTGCAAAGGAAGAGTGGTCCAAAATTCCGGGGTGAGAGGTGTCAGTAAGCTTATTGATGTTTCTAGGAAGCGACTGATTTCAGTTATGTTTTCCAAAGGGGGTGTGCAACCAAATATTAAGTTAAGGGTGCCAATACTTTTGTCCAGCCCATTTTTTTGGGGTTTATGTGTGACATTATGTCATATTTTGCTTTTCTGCCTCTGTTTTATATTTGTTTCCAATACATACAAAGGGAATAAACATGTGTATATAGCAAAACATGTGTTAATGCAATAACCTTTTTGTGTGAAATACCAGAAAAATATCATAGGGTGCCAACAATTTCGGCCCATGACTGCTTTATATATACTATTATTTATTAAGAGCAATGTGTCTTGGTTTTATCCAGTAAGTAAAACTGTTATGTTGACAAAGCTTGAGTATTAATGTTTTTGGACACTGTTCTCTATCTTTTTTATGAGGGATTTTGCACAAAAGACTTTGTAAAACTCTGCTTACTGATTACTTCATGTTTTCTTTACAGCAAAACATATCCTTTTTAGAGTACACTGTATGGATTTACTGACTGACTGGAGTCATTCCTAATCTGTTAAACTGGTCAGGACTGTAAACCACCAGGTGTTGATAAAGTCATTACTGCAAATACAATTAAAAAAGGAAAAATGTAGTACTGTTCTAATATTGCTGATTTTTAGTTCATTCAAAGCTTGCTTTGTAAACAATCTGATATAAATATACATTTTTGGGGATTTTTTGCTTTAGTATTAGTTTGCTTTTTCCTCTTGTCCCAGCAATGTGTAAACAACACCATAACTAGTGTGGTATTGTAATTGCTGGAAGATGATTTTCCTCTGAATTTAAGTACTGAGTGTGCTACTATTGCATTTGTATATAATTGTCTGTTAGTTTGATGGTTTTCATTTGTTAAACAATAATTCTGGCCTTAGGTGACTATGTTTCATAATAAGTCATTGCCCTTTGAGTTTGAGCTGATATGCTTGTGATAGCTGAACATTTGAGTCCCATCCCATTTCCCTCATGGTAACCTAAAACAGACTGACTGATTACTCATGATACAACTTCCAAAGTACACTAAAAATGGACTAATGTAAAAGAATGCGGATTGTATCTGTGTTCTGTGAACCATCAAAGCAATTCAGCTTTCTGCAAAATTACACTGTACTGTTCTAAGTTAAGGCCAAGTACCAGATCACATATCAAATGCATACTTCACAAACTAAAATGGTCATAAAAGCAGAGAAGGAGCCAAAGATGACAAGTTCTGCGGAAGCTGAGGTGCACAAGCATTGAGGTCCTTGGGTGAAAAAAGTGCTAACGCGTTGGATCGGGAGTCCCGAATTTCCCTCCTCAGGAGCAGACTATGTAATGATAGGAGTTATGCTCATTCATGTGATTTTACAATAAATTTCCCTATATATCACTGTAATGCACGAGAGACAGTTTTATTCTTTTTTGCCAGAGCATCAAGAGATTGCCCAATCTATCAAGGGCGGCAACCTCAGCGAATTTCTAGATTCCGTGTTCTCTGTGTAGCATGAAGATCTGAGAGCTGTTTTTTGTCATTTGTTCAAGTATCAGATCATCTTAACTTCTTGTACTGATGTGGTCAGGTATGAGGCAAAAGGACTAGTGAGGCCAAGAAAAAAAAATGCTCTGGAGGGATAGGAGGGCTGATGTAGTCATCAGACATCTACATTTGCATCTACCATCAGTCAACTTAAGATCAAAACATTTCCCTACAAGATCTGGAAGCTTGGACCAGGCCAAAGAACAACTAGATAGGTCATGTACTTCTTGGTACCGAGAGTCTGGTGCAGGCAGTGTCAGTGCAGAACTTTCATGTTAAAAATACTAAAAAATAATCTGAAATACTCCCCCTAACCTACAAAACGTCCTCCCTACACATTTTCCCACCCAGCGTACATTTACAGTATATACTTCGTTAGCAAGTGGTTATACCGATATCATTCCTGCAGCTGCAACCATGATCCTGGTTTCAAATTTTTTTTTTTTAGCTGGTGATGGGCATTCCAGTAAAAGTGATTCAGGCAGCTCTACAGCCACCTGATTCACTTTTACAGGACTTGGAAGGGACTCCCATACCCTCAATTTTAAAGTGTTGGTATCTATTTATTTGACATACATCATCTTTTATATGTTAGGCTCCATGTACATGGGACGTTTGGAAAACACTTCTGAACGATGGAAACGGACTGCTGGAAAATGAAGGTTAAAAAAACGTCTGTTTAGCCGCGTTTGCATACCACATTTATGCTCGTTTGCGTTTAGAAGCATTTTTCAAAGATAACCTCAGGTGACCTTCCAAAATGCTCAGAATGCACTGAAAAACAGTAAAAAATGAACTATTTCAGAGATTTTGAGAGAAATGGAGAGAGCAGAAGCAGAGAGAGCAATATTTGTTGAGATTAGCTGTCTTTTTTTTTGTGGTGTTTGGATGTGTTCCAGCTCATTTCTGTGCAGAAATTATTGCAGCGGTGTCTAACATATTTTCTTTCATGCAAAACCTCAAAGT